TTAAACTTGCTGTAAGAGAACGTTGGACATTAGCAGCGTGAAGACGCGCCCTGTTAACGATGGTTTAGATAGAAGAACCGTTTTCTTTTTTGTCCTGAATTGTCGAGACGCGTGCTGAGGTTCGTACCTGCGGTTTGGTTTGCACTGGAACGTCATTACAACGACGGGAGGAAAAAAAAGAAGACAGAAAAGGAAAATACTCCGAAAGTTTCATTTGGTCTTTCATTTTAGTCTATGTTGCATCTCCGCCTTTTTCGATTTGCGCCAAAAGGAAACGCTCCTACTGTCCCCGTTTGTGTTTCTGGCTTTGAACTGTCTTGGAATCAGGATGCTAACATTACACTAGACGCCCTTTCGTATCAGACGTTTGTACTTTTGGGCCTGTTAAGTGCTAGTGTAAACACTCTCCTCCCCAGAGGCTCCAAAGGGGCATGGCGCGAGTGAGTGCGGGTGTGTTCGGTAATATCTCGGTTTTCGCGCCTGCACTCACTTTGTGCAGAGGAAATCCAATAACGCCTCATTGAATCAATGGAGACAGACGTAAACAAAGAGATTGAATATTTAATTTAAAAAAAGTAATCTTGTCTGAGAAGAAAATTCACAAAATTTAATTAAGCGATCCTCCTATTCGTTGTACCGAATTTTTACAATTCTTTCTCTTATTCGGTGCTGCACCCATTTTTATAAACCTTACGGTGAAACCAGCCTAAATCGCCTCAGAAATACACATGGACACAAAATACCGCACAAGTAAGTGTATTTTATTTTGTTTCTTTACAGTAAGCTAAGATATGGCGAATTTGTTCGAACTTTTATTGTTCCCAGATAAACCATATGAATCGCTTCTACGAAGCATTTCCAGATGTACTAATTTTTAACAAGCGCTGGCTTAATGAGTTTGGGATGCATGTGATATTGATTACTATTTTACACGCCGGTGGAAGTGGAATGCAATTCTAAACAACTAAGTAAATCTCTGTGATACCTAACCTGAGATCAGGCGTTATCTTTTTTTTCCTTTTTTGGCTCGAGAGGGAAAAAGCTAACGCCCTCTTCCCGTGAGAGACATAAAGGGATAATAGGGAGAGAGCATGATCTCAGGCTATGTGATACCTAACATTACAATCCCTAATAAAACAGATTCCCTTAGGTAACTTATCATACCGTAACCACTAAATAATATCTCCTTAAAGCATACAACAAACTAGGTAAAAGTAAAGTAGCTTAAAGCAAGAATTTGTATTGCTGGATTGTTTTTTGTCAGTTTTAACAACTGTGCTTCGACGTGAATTAATAAGTACCAAAGTTGGCTCAGTTTGAGTCAAAAACTACTTTGTAATCAAGAAATAAAGTGAAATAAATCACTTCGTACAAAAGAATTGTTCATTTAAACACATCGTAAATTGGCTTAGCGTTGCCAACTTCCATAATTGGCGGGAAAAAATATGCCCCAGCATTTCCAATTCTGAACAAAAAAAGGCATTGTTATGGTACGGAGCACACCCCCTGAATAAGCATACATATGTAGACATCATAATTATTCAAAAATCTGAATACGACTGTTGCTGATTTCAGACACAAGTATTTTACCATCACTAAGAACCGCTGCTGAGACCGGTGCATTTAACGCTCCCATCCCGCTTCCTTTTGTTCCAAACTTAGCAACAAACTTTCCACTCAGATCAAACACCTGAATCCTGTGATTTAACATATCACAAACCATCAGGTGTCCTGCCTTGTCCATGGACAAGCATTCAGGTGTGTTAAACTCTCCGTCTGCATTTCCCGACTTCCCAAATTTGTAAAGGAAGTTACCCTTTCTATCAAATAATTTTAAAGAATCATCGTTACTGTCTGATACAATAAGATAGTTGTCATGTTGAATACAGTGAAAGGGGCTGATGAAAGAACCCTCTTTGCCAATTTTACTTAAAAATTGACCCCCAGCAGAAAAGATCTTTATTAATTTATTGACATTATCAGCAACAAGGATGTTGTCATCACTGTCAATTAATAAACCACAAGGATTATAAAGCTGCCGATCAAGACTTCCTTTTTCACCAAAATGGCTCAGGTACTGCCCCCGTTTACTGATTTGTTGAACTCTGTGGTTTCCCTGTTCAGCCACAATAATGTTATTACCGTGAAAAGCTATCCCAGCAGGCCTTTTGAACTCGCCTTGTTGTGTTCCATCTCCACCAAAAGATCTAATATGAGTTCCATCACTCTTAAATAAGTGAATCTTATGGTTACCAACGTCACTTACTGCAACTTCATCTTGTTCATTGACTGCTACCCCCCAAGGATTATTCAATATTTGTTCTCCAAAAGATAACACAGATCTGAACTGTCTGGGTTTGAATTGAACCTCAAAAGGGCTGCCACGGATATGTTCTCCATTAACCTTCACTGATGCACTGCATGTTCCTGTTTCTTTGGCAAAGTATTTGATCTTGTAAGTACCATCTTTGTTATCTTGGACTTGCACTTCAGCTGCGCTGTTATCACCATGACGATTAGTGACTTCCAGTTTTACATTGTCATCGTTGTTGTAACATTGTTGGCCTACCGCATTTCTCGTTGTCACAACAAGCTGTGCTTCAAGTCCAACAACCGCTTCACTGATTCCTTTTCCATCAGCGCTAGATTGCTGCGCTTCAACACTCTGCTTACTTTTGAGGAAGCCAATTTGTTCAACGCGCACGAGATCAAACACCTTTTGATTCTTCACAAAACTTAGCCCCGCCGGAAAACTTACTTTGTTTTCACGAAGGGCAGCTGTATCTTCTTCTATTTTGTCCAACAGATCATTCGACTGCATGATTTCCGCACTTGTGCTACGCTTTATAAGTAATTCAGTCTTTTCAATTTCTGATTCATGCTTTTTAACCTGTTCTACAAACTTGTCCATTTGTATTTCTATATGCTGGAGAGATAATTGTGTTCTCCGTTCCACATCATCAAAAATCTCCAGTTTCTTTGCTTCAATGGCTGCATGAATGCTGTCAGTATACTCTTGTACGTTTCTTGTCAGACAAGCAGCTTGCTCTTGAACTTCATTGTAATATTCGATAAGTTTCTCGATTTCACTTTTCTGTGCTTCCGCTCTTTTTTTCTGAGAATCAATTGCAGATTTCAATCTTAACTTCCGCTCATTTGCAGCCATTGCTAGAAGCATCTTTGCGTGCCCCTCGTGATCCAACAAAGCACAGGCGTTACAAATTGCGACTTCGCAAATCTTGCAAAAGAATTCCATTTCTTTCTTTTCGTGGCCTGAAATTCCGCAAAATGAAGGTCGCTTTAAAATGTTTTCAAAGTCTTCTTCTCGAAATTCTTCCAATGCCAGCGCATAGTGATCTTTATTCGCCTTGATCCTATTGTGGAGTCCAATGCACTCTTCGCACCAGAAAGAATAACACTGGAAACAATAATGGCTTTGTTTGGTTCGTTCGTCGCAATTTCCACACTTAACTCCGGTTGTGCTGCACTCTTTTATAGCTAATACATCAAGCAAGCTGTTAATACGAAAGTTTGTTGGCAAAGCTGCTAGGTTTCCATTATCAGGGACATTGAATTCCTGTCTGCACTCCGGGCACGGAATTTTATCTCGTCCGCCACTCGTTCGTTGAATCCCATTCAGACAGTGAAGGCAAAAACTATGCAAACACGGCAACTGTTTTGGATCTGTGTACTTGCTCATACACACAGAACATGATAACTCTTCATGAAGGTTGTTCAGTAAGGTTTGAATATCCATAAGGGCGGAAGAATACGACCAAAGTGAAAGACTAACTGACTAGTTCATGGAGCTTATGCCTTTGTGGGCTGCATAGGTTAAATCCACTAAAATAAATATTGATCGCCGGAAATAATGCTAACCAATCAGAAAGAAGTACTTCAGATGGGTCACCGATGAGCGGCTTCTAAGAATTTGCTGGCGAAAAGATAAACAATTCTGAGAATTTGGGGATGGATGGTATTACTTTCTTCGCAAGAGATGGTTTTCACAGTGATGGGGTGTCTATAAGACGCGGACCAGATACCTGCAGATGGCGGACGTGGATGGGAAAATGCGGATAACAAAAAAAGTAAGAGGAAGAAAACGATAAATGCTGAAGGCAAAAAAATAATAATAAACAAACAAACAAAGGAAAGAAATCTTTCTTTCAAGTCGCTGTGGACCCTTCACTTACATACGGAACTTGATGCCAATAGGTGGCACAGTTTTGTACCCTGTAATTCCTTTCATTTATGTCACAGAAACTGAATAAGGACGCTCCGTTCCTCCTCCTTAAATGCACGCATACCTTGTGCACTTCCCCTTTGAGTGTTTAGCCTAAGGCTTCCAGGCAAGGTAAACAGCTCAAAAAATCGGCCAGCAAAGATTCGCTTATTTTGCACTGGCCGCGTTTAATATTCTTCCCTTTACCCAATAAGGAGCCAGTGGTCCCTGCAATCACTGGTCAGAATGTAGAATATTACCAGACCAGCATCCAAAAGCGGCGTAATTCACGAAGCAGTCTGTCTTTACTTTCGGGAGTGATCGCTATTTTTTTTAAAACATTACTTTATTTGGAATTTCACGGTTATCATGCTAAGAAGGGGAGGTGTTGGTGTTAGTACTTGCAAAACAAACGACAAACAATTTTTAATATAAAATCATTCTGACCTGGAGTTCTGATTTCTTTGCTCTCACTGGATACTTACAGAGAGAATATTCTCAGGGACTTACTTGTTTTTTTCTGCCTCAGGACAGAAAAAATTGCAGCATCTACCAGAAATCAAAGGCTCCTAGGAGCGAGCTCATGGATGAATTGAATTAGTGTGGAAAAGACAGTTCAATAATCAAAGAAAAACATATAAATCTTTTTGAACGGTTCATTGTGTACGGACTTGCCAAAATACAGTGTGACTCGAAGTATCCGATTGCATGTGCACCTGAATATTCTAGAAACTTGTTATCAGCGCAGCATTTCTACTTACAAAGCAAAGATCACTGAAAGGCCACGCAATGGTCACCAAAAGAAAAAAAAATAGTGACTAATTGGCTGAAGACCAGTTGACCTTCTCTAGTTCCCGCAACAACCTCTATTTTGAGGGTAGTTTGCGGTTACTAAAGGTCACGTAATGGTCACCAAAAAACAGCGACTAATTGGCTGAAGACCAGTTGACCCTTTCTATTTCCTGCAACAACCTCTATTTTGAGGGTAGTTTGCCGTTACTAAAGGTCACGTAATGGTCACCAAAAAAACATAGTGACTAATTGGCTGAAGACCAGTTGACCTTCTCTAAAAAAATCCGGATATAAATCCGGATTTCCCAATCAAACGCAGCCTTTGTTACACGTTTCATGGAGGAAATGTCGTACGTGTTCTCGTTTACTTTTTTTTCACGGCCGCTAATTTTCACCTTGCATTGGTGGCCCCTGGCATTTCCCATTTTGTCACCGCCGCTACAAAATTTGTATGTTGTTGTTCCAACAAAAAAATGTCTCCTTTGTTTTTTATCTCTCGCTCTAGACCTCTGTCGCCCTTTTTCTCGTTGAGCTTCGCTGGCCTGCCGCCTACGTTCTCTTTTTATCTGCCTTTCTCCTGCTCTATATGCCAAATTTGTGGACACGACAATTAATCTAAACTAAATACTTTAGACAACACGGATACAGAAACAATTTCCGCTTTCCGTTGATTGACTCTTTAGTTGTCTCTGCTTTACAAGACGCTGGTGGCTATGGGATTTCCCGCCAAAATAACCTCAAGTTGCATTTAGGTTGCCATACCGGTTGATTGAGTTATTTTACATTGGTATGCCTGTGGTGCGGACGGACGGTCGCTCGGGCGGGCGGTCGGTCGGTGTATGGTCACGTGATTACCAAATTTTCTCGGATGGGTAGATTACTTCATTTTCTTACCCATGGTGCTCCGCTGGCGAGAGCTCCGCTATTATTTTGACTTTCAGTCAGTGATTCGGCTAATTCGTTTCCGCATGACGTGCGAAATCTTTGGCTATTTTTTCCTGCTCCGCACTGCTATATAGACAGCTGAGCCACCTCGCCGCATGCTTGTGCGTCCCTTTTCCTGTCGATATCAATATGATTAACAGCAATCGTATTGATATCGGCAACATCTTCCAAATTTAGTCAATGTTAGGTGCTCATTAAGAGATAGCAGGTGATTTTAGCGGAGCTCTCGCGCGCGAAGCGCGCCAGCGGAGCACCATGGGTAAGAAAATTTGGTAAACTATCCATCCGATAAAATTTGGTTATGACGTAGCGTACACCCGCCCGCCCACCCGTACACACACTTCATGTAAGCCGATGTCAAGTGTCACACTTGTCAGGACCGTGAAATAAATAACAACGGAGACTAATGCCGCTGGAAGGAAAACATGAAAATTATATAGCGGCGGTTACAACATGAAGAATGCTAGCGGCTACTAATGTGAAAAAGCAGCGGCAGTGAAAAAGTAGAATGAACAGGAACACAAACATTTCCTCCATAAAACGCGTAAATAGGAAGCTAAAAGAAGTTTCACGTTAGTCGTGTAAAACAACGGTAAGGAAATGTACAAAAAAAAAACTGCTGCACGTGCAGAGTTGTTTTTTTGCTAATTAGAAAAAAAGTGTGCTGCACGTGCAAAGTTGTTTTTTTGCTAATTAGATCTATTGTTGTTTTTAGCGTTTTCGTTGCTTTCAACTTGTCTTTAGTATTCATCGATTTTATATTTTCTTTGAGGAATCTATAAATATTAAAGAGAGCTTCGCTTTTAGCCCTGGCTAAATCTATATATTAAGCCACTCATAAACGGAGAAATAGTTTGAATGAATAATATTATGCACTTTGCAGTAATGACAAAACAATGATACTAACAACTTTAATGATACCTATCGATTTAATGACAGCCCGCTGACCTACATGAGTATAACATGGCGAAGCAAGCTGAACACAAGTATTCGGCCTTATACGCCTACGTCCCTAACGATGCTAAAGGTGAAGACAATGAAGAGGAGAATCCGATCGGTAGAGATCCGTGGCACGAAATTCAACTTGGCAGGAACAAAGTTGCGTAGAGTCTAAATCGTGAGATGACAATTCTCTTTTAGAGTCTGATAAGCTCAACTGAAAAGCTTGGCAATCAAAGAACTACCCCACCTTGAGTTAAAACTCTCTTTTAGATTTTTGAAATGAGAGTAGACTTTAGTCGAGTAGTTTAGGTTCCAGTCTTATAACCGAATATTCCGGGTGCAACAACTACAGTTGAACGAACTGTATCAGGGTTGTTTTGTATACGGTAGACTCCAATTCACTTGGTAAGTACACAGATGATTCGATGATGGCATGTGAGACCCTTGGGGCTGTGCCTTGGTAATAGCGACCTTCAGTTTAGGTGGACGGCGACATAGAAAACGGTGACTTTGGCCGCGGCGGCTTTGGGATTGACAATATCAAAGTTTCGAGCACAACGGTATGAAGATATATGACCAACAAAAATTGGAAAGCCTTGACTAGAAAAAGGCGGCGCACACTTCATGCAGGCATCGTGTCACAAGGATTTGCAAACCTTCATCAAAGGACGACCGGCCGGCAAACTCACGTGATGTGAACCTTTTAGAGACCTTCTGGATTAGCGTTAACGATACAACATACAAAGATCCAGCCCTCAAAACACTAGTGGAGCTAAGACACTGACTACGCTTCGCCTGGAAAAATGTGAATTTAGACAATGCTTTGGGAGCTCGTACATTCTATACCTCACCGTTTGAAAATGTCAGAAAACATAAAGGAAGACATTCATTTCTGGTGTCCTAATATTTCGGTTATTCTATGTTAATTGAATAATGAATAACATACTTAGTTTTACAAAAGGTATTTTTAATAATCAGTAAAACTCAAGCGAAGAAAACATCGGAACGATCTTTTGAAACACCCACTATGTAGCGTTTTCAAACAGTTGGTTTAAAGACGGTTTTACTTAAACTTTGTGTTTCAATATATTCCGTGAAACTGTTGGGAAAGAAAACTGCTGTCTTTGTGCTCGCCGCGGTACCGTGGCTTTCGTACTGATAGCGCTTTTTATTAAACTGGAAAGAATTTTCTTTGAGGATTAATCTAACCATTTCTCGGACCGAAACAAGAAATGTTCGGTTTTTTTCACCTTTGTCTTTTCAATAAAAATGATTTAGCTTAGAAAGTCAGTAGTATCCTGAAGGTGTGACTCCTGTGATTTTGATATTGGTTGTCTGTACCTGACTATCAACACAAGAGGAAATTCTTTCCCTTACCATATGATGAGTGATAAATTTAAAGAGGTTACTTCCTACCGGCAAGAAACATACAAAATGCTCTTTTTCTGAAAACAGATATCGATAATGTGGGTCCATGTCGGTAGTCGGTTAATATGTTTCCTGTCTGGTTTTGTCGGTAGCCAGTTGCATATTTTTCGCCCTTTGTCGCTAGTCGGTTAACCCCATTAACACTCTCATGTAAGAGAACACTGGACGTTGGCAGAGGACGCGCCATGTTTACGAGGGGAAGATAGAAGAATCGGTTTTTTTTGTCGTTGTAAATTTGAGCCAAGGTCAGCAAAAGTTACACTTCTGAATTATCGAGACGTGCGCTGAGGTTTTCACCTTTTTCTCATTTGAAAGAGGGTTATGCCGAAAGAAATGCGTGAAACCAGCACTGAGAGGAAGTAAGGGGAACAATGCATGTGCTAGTATGAGGACTAGGCCGGAATGTAGGGTTGTATGGGCAACGCAAGGAATGGGGGTAGAACAACTTTGAACAACTATATTCTCTAATGTAATTTACAATGACGAAGTAGAAGCACTGTTACACTAGCTTGTACGTCACACGTGATTGGAAAACGGCTTTGTTATATATTGCCGGGCTCAAACCTTTTGCCTCCGTAGTTGCTTCTCTCTTTGGTTTCGCAATAGAATGTTATTACAACGACGGAAGAAGGAAGAAAATGGAAAGTCGGGAGCCGATATTCCGAACGATATTCCAGACGGTGAACAGGGTCTTGACTATCAGTTTCCTTTGGTCTCCCTTTCAGTCTATGTTTCATTTCATTTCATTTTCATTTAATTTATTAAAGGAGTCAACAACATTTTGTTATTACCAATTGCAGATTGATGCCTCAACAAAGAAATTGGATTTCTAACTTGTACAAAGAGGAATCGAGTCTGAGAAGCAAACTCAAAAAATCTAGGCTATTTCCGAGTTCCCCCGGGCCTCTGTTTCAAAACGAGGGTAGGTGCTCAGCCTTTGATATGGAAATTATTTTTCATTCTCATGCAAATGAAACTCATTTTCACAAGAAAGGTTGTGCACCTGTGCCTCGTTTTGAAAGTGAGGGTTTTTGGAACTCGGAAGTGGCCAATTAAACGGACTCTCCTTTTCGGTCTATTATGTTGTTACGATTCTCTGCTTATTCAGTACTGCACCCATTTCATTATCAGCCAGAAGACCAGCTGCTTTAGTGCAAACTAATACTGAAACAAGTCTTCTCTGATTGGTTAAAACAGACTGATAAGCACGAAACCTAGAAAAATAGTTTTTATGTCCATGCGTGCACCGTTAAGCTTAATTAGGTCATCTGGCCAACACAAAACAAGGAGAGCACTTAGAATTCTTACAGTAACAGTGAGAAAAATACTTAAATTACACCTTTTAAGAATATCTTGTCAAGCAGTTGATCTACAGAAGGTGAAAAGCTTCTTCATCGACAATTATTGGATAATTTTTTCTACAGATTAACTTCGGACGTGATTGGAAAATTCCAGAAGCGAACATTAAAAAGCGCAGTACGTGGCAGACAAGAAGAAATTCAGTACAACTTAAGACGGTAGATATTTACTTGCAGCGTCACCTGAGAAACAGGAGGTATCCTAAACGGTAATCATAATACTTGCAACTATCATTGATTGCAAGTAACACCAGCAACTGCATGAATTTGATCGAAAACACAGAAAATAAAGGTAAAATTGACGGATATAGCGATAGAGATCATTACCGGGAAACCAGACAAAAGGTCGTTTAAAAATGCACAAGTTTTTGTTGGAAATCTTAATTGAATATATTTTACAATAAGAAGAGTTACCGGGTAAGCTCAGTACTAAAATAGAAGAACTTATCTGTTTTACAACGAATTCATCACAGGAGAAGGTTTATGTTGATCACTACTAGTTTTTAAATGCTTATCGAAGCTGCAAATGAATGTTATTCTAAACAACTAATAAATGATTAGAATATTCGTAACGTTACATTTCGACAATATATCCCATAGTCGTAACCCATTATGCAGTAAATACTTAATTGAAAACATCCTTTAAAATACTTAATAATTATAGCATGAATCAAACCTGGGTAAGGGAAAAGTAGATCAAATCTAAAATTTCAATTGCTTGCATTTTCATTGTCGAAAGGCCCCTTTTAATACCAGCTAAAAGCTGATAGTGCCAGGGATAGTGCTACCCTGCCCAAATAAACTTTGACCTGACTTTGCTTGACTTGTCAGGTTTAACAACTCTGAAGTAAGAAGTATCAAAGTTAGCCTTAAGTTAGTAGGCCCAACAACGCCTTTGTGATCAAGGAATAAATTGAATCAAATCTCTGAGTCGTTCACAAGAAGAGACATTAAAATATTTTATATGACTCCAGTATTGCTGCCAACGTTCATAATTGGTAACATACCAGCATTTTCAATTCTAAATCAAAAAAGCGTTGTTACGTTACGGAGCACGTCCTGAGTAAGAGCTGGTGTCATATTTATTCAAACAGCTGAACGCGGTGGTTTTTTAAGTCGGTCACAACTATTTTGCCATCACTAAGAGCTGCTGCTGAGACCGGTGTATTAAACTCTCCCATCCTTCTTCCTTTTCTTCCAAACTTAGCGACAAACTTCCCACTCAGATCAAACACCTGAATCCAGTAATTTTTTTTATCACAAACCATCAGGTGTCCTGCCTTGTTCATGAACAAGCAACGAGGTGTGTTAAATTCCCCGTCTGCATTTCCCATCTTCCCAAATTTGTAAAGGAAGTTACCCTTCCTATCAAACAATTTTACAGAATGATCACCACTGTCTGATACTATAAGATAGTTGTCATGTTGAATACAGTGCCAAGGTTTAGTGAAATCACCCTCTTTCCCAATTTTACTTAAAAATTGACCCCCAGCACAAAAAATCTTTATTAATGCATTATCACGATCAGCAACGAGGATGTTGCCATCACTGTCAATAGATAAACCACAAGGAAAATCAAGCTGCCGATCAAGAAGTCCTTTTTCACCAAAATGGCTCAGGTACTGCCCCTGTTTACTGATTTGCTGAACTCTGTGGTTATGCTGTTCAGCCACAATAATATTATTACTGTGAAAAGCTATTCCGGCAGGCCTGTTGAACTCACCGGGATGTGTTCCCTCTCCACCAAAAGATTTAATATGAGTTCCATCGCTCTTAAATAAGTAAATCTTATGGTTACCAGCGTCACTCACTGCAATTTCATCTTGTTCATTTACTGCTACCCCCCAAGGATTCTCCAATATTTGTTGTCCAAAAGATAAGACAGGTCTGAACTCTCTGGGTTTGACTTGAACCTCAAAAGGGCTGCCACGGATATGTTCTCCCTTGACCTTCACTGATGCACTGCATGTTCCTGTTTCTTTGGCAAAGTATTTGATCTTGTAAGTACCATCTTTGTTATCTTGGACTTGCACCTCAGCTGCGCAGTTTTCGCCTTGACGATTCCTGATTTCCAATGTTACGTAGTCGTAATCGTCGTGATACTGTTGGCCTTCGGCGTTTCTTGTTGTCACAACAAGCAGTGCTTCAAGTCCAACAATCGCTTCACTGATTCCTTTTCCATCAGCACTTGATTGCTGCGCTTTAGTCTGGGTACTTTTGAGTGAGCCAATCTGTTCTACGCATGCGAGATCAAACAACTTTTGATTTTTCACAAAACTCAGCCTCGCCAAAAAACTTTCGTTCTCTCGATCGGTGACTGTCTCCTCTCTGCTATTCTCTTCCCTTAATATAATGTTCAACACATCGTTCGGCTGCATAATTTCGGCACTTGTGCTTCGCTTTATAATTGTTTCTGTCCTTTCAATTTCTGATTCATGCTGTTTAACCTGTTCTACAAACTTGTCATTTTGTATTCCTATATGCTTGAGAGATAATTGTGTTCTCCGTTCCACATCATCAAAGATTTCTAGTTTCTTTGCTTCAATAGCTGCATGAACGCTGTCAGCAAACTCTTGTACGTTTCTCTTCACGCAAGCAGCTCGTTCTTTAACTACCTCGTAATATTGGGTAAGTTTCTCGATCTCACTTTTCTTTGTTTCGACTCTTTTTTTCTGAGATTCAATTGCAGATTTCAGTCTTAACTTTCGTTCGTTTGCAGCCAGTTCTAGAAGCATCTTTGAGTGCCCCTCGTGATCCAATAAAGCACAGGCGTTACAAATTGCGACTTCGCAAATCTTGCAAAAGAACTCCATTTCTTTCTTTTCGTGGCCTGAAATTCCGCAAAATGACGGTCGCTGTAGAATGTTTTCAAAGTCTTGATCTTGAAATTCTTCCAATGCCAGCGCGTAATGATCTTTATTCGCCTTGATCCTATTGTGGAGACCAATGCACTCTTCGCACCAGAAAGAATAACACTGGAAACAATAATGGCTTTGTTTGGTTCGTTCGTCGCAATTTCCACACTTAACTACAGTCGTGTTGCACTCCTTTATAGCTAATACATCGAGCAAACTGTTAATACGAAAGTTTGTTGGCAAAGCTCCAAGGTTTCCATTATCAGGGACATTGAATCCTGTCTGCACTCCGGGCACGCAATTTTATTTCGTCTGCCACTCGTTCGTTGAATCCCATTCAGACAATGAAGGCAGAAACTATGCAAGCACGGCAACTGTTTCGGATCGGTGTACTTGGACATACACACAGAACATGATAACTCTTCGTGAAGGTTGTTTAACAGGGTTTGGATATCCATAAGGGTGGAAGAATAAGAACAAACAGAAAGTAGACAAACACACGTTCCGCCTCACTGGTCTGCGAAGGTTTTAAAAATATTTTCTTTTAATATCGATCTCCGGAAAGGACGCTCTGCACGCTGACCAATCACGTGAGATATGTCACAGATGGATAGATTCTAAGAATTGCATGTGTAAAGATCAACAATTCCGAAAATAACTTTTGGGGGATGGATTCCAATGTTCTTACTTTCTTCGCAACAGGTTGCTATTACGTTAGTAAATAAACTAAACCATTTTCTTATCACTTTCCAGAAACTTGAAAACTCGAAACAAATCAGTCCTGATAAAAACATCTTTCCAATTTCCGAAACACTTGGGTAATCTTCCCTGAGGGGTTATTTATGACATTTATAGGATCTTATAGGCTCCTCATTTTTTAAGTAAACGGGAACAAGAAGCTTACACTGTGCCCTGGCTCCAGAGGTCCGTTCTCGAAAAAGAAACTCCTCTGGCACCCACGTTGCGTGCACTGTAGACCGTAATCTAAAGTATAGGTCCTTTATTTTCTAGCTTTTTCTCTCCTACCCTATTAAGAAATGACGGACTGCCACACAGCTTTCAAAAATGGCGTATTCTTTTGCCTCATAGCCTGCGTAGCCAGCGTTTTTGTTCACGCTCTTATTTTCAAGTTATTTCTCTGCTGCAAACGCTACACAGGGAAGCTCCTCAGAGATCTACACAGATTCGGTTAAATCCATTCTCAAGTTAAGAGTAAACTATTATCGCTCGTGATTGGTACAGTTTATTCAGTTCTCACTGGCAGAGAAGCTTTAATTTTGTAGAACGATTACGATCTGTGTTTATAAAATACTTGTCTTTTAATGCCTCGGAATATTGATTTTGCATATTCAATGACCATGAGTCAGCATACCTTATTAATGCTAGCTGTCAAACCGGCCGTCAAGTTCAATGGCGGGATTCTTTATATGTTTGTGCCACAGACATAAAGTGCAAGCAATAGTTCAGCGAATCGATAAATTGTCGAAAAGGAAACCCTCCAAGCCTGGTCTAAAATTCCGTTATGTAACAAACGAAAGGTATTAAGCATGAGAGGGCTCATGCAACTCGTATATATGGTTTCGCGCAGACTAGTCCCTAGGCGTTCTCTCTTGATCCGTTGTCCGCGCGAAGTCTGGAAGAGAGGGCGAGTATCTCTCGGTGACGTCACAGCTCATGGTAGAGTCCAGGAATGACCGAGCCGAAAACGCCTGGGGACTAGGCTGGGTTTCGCGATATTCGTACGGTGTATTCATGCTGGACTAATGTTGATAGCGGTGCTGGTAGTGGCACCGCTATTGCTAGTGAATGAAACTCCTTCGTTGCATTGCTCAGGGAACAGAGGAGTTAATTTTTAACTTGATTCTGTGTTATTTTGCAGCACGAATCTGACTCTTGTTTTAGTTGGTGCGCAGTCTGCGACCCTCGAACTCTGTTCTGAAAATTTGATTCAGAGCGGCGAGTCCTATAGACAGCTCTAGTCCAGGGCAGATAAAGATTGGGGAGTGAAACGAGTGCGTCCGAGCAAAAAGGTGTGATGCAGTGGACTGGGACTCTGCTTAGAAATGTCGCTTGTTTTCGACTTCGGTCAGGGCCTGCGATGTGGTTTGACCATTAGACACTGCCGCTGTCACTGAATTATGGCGGCTTGATTTGTTTTCTTGCACTTCTTCCTCGTTCCTTTGTGCTGGTACGCTGTCTCCGAGAGGCAAATGTTGCTATTTTTTGCGGGAGGTGTAGTGGGAGTAGACAAACATCTCTTTCAAAGGGTTTCTCTTACTTCCATGACTCTACCACTGATTTATATTTTCGTTCTACTACTCGCCAATGTCGTCGTTATTCTAAAACCAAAACAACTAAGTACTGCCTAAAACACGAGGGAAAATCTCATCCATGTCATCCATGGCAAAACTAAAAGACAGCAGAACGATCGTGTTTCATAACTAGATGACGTGTACTTTATAAATGCGTGCAGCTCATGTGCAAGGTGAAATTATGCTAATTTCAATCACCATCGTCCTTCTTTTTAATTTTGAAAAAAACCTCTCATACGTCTTTCTGTTTCTTCGCAACTTCAAAATTAGTTCCCCCTCAGTTTTTACTGTTTACCTTGTTTTATTTTAGAGAGAAAAACGGAGAAAAAACCTTACAACTAGCCTTAATAAATTTTGTTTACATGCGGTTGCCGGATTTGCGACGCGTTGCGCGAATCGCCATGGCGCGTTGCACCCGAGAAGCAAAGTTTGAAGCATTACAATGCCACTATATCAAAATATATCAATCTAATTTTTTGTTATGTTATATAAAATTTATCCCCCTATAATATATGTAAAAATTGAGGTTAAGAAGTGTTAAGCTTTTGCAAACGAAACGGCAAAAGACGATTGGGTGATATTTTGTGGACGGAGGAGGTATTCAACACTTTCAAATTAAACTCAAATTTTAACATTACACGACAAACAAGTTTGACTTATAGGCATACAGACACAAACTTAATATATAGATTTAGCCACAGCTAAAAGCGAAGCTCCCATTGATAAATTTATAGCTTAAATCAAACAATAATTTTGTATTCCACAAATCAGTTAACTTAAGGGCACATTCATGTGCATTTGAGGGAAAAACTAAGTGATTTTTGAGTGAAACAAATCTTGTATCGAGTTGATATAGCCCTATACAGGGACCGCGCAGAGGGAGGGGCTTTAGCCCCCCCACTTTTTTGCAAGAATAAAATGAATTAAACAAAAAATAATTTAACAAAAGTAACGGAGTGAAAAATAGCAAAAAATCGTTAATTCGAAAATGACCAGAGTTACTGGCAAAGACAAACGCGCAGATAAATAGACAGAATGAAGCATTAGTCGTTAGAATTGTAAAATATTTTTTCGCTTCTAACCTAGCAGAGGTAAACGTCTTTTAAATGGCTTCTTTTTCCTGCGGACCTCTCGGGAAAACGCGTTGTTTCGTAATTGGTCAATTTCGATCCAAAGTAATAACTGGGTTTAGTTTATAAGGCGATTCTCAAACAAATTGTTTATTAGTTTCAACCTTGATTTTTGGAAGATCATGAAGTTATTGTTTCTCTTGTTATTGTGCGTCCTGATTTTAGCCCGATCAGCGTGGACTCCGTCTTTTGATGTCAGGCTTCTCAAACTCATTAATAATTCATTAAGAAAATACAAAGGAAATTAATGTTTAATGAGTGTTTGGAAATCGGATGAAACACTGCTTAGTATTTGCATCCTTAATTTCTCCTTCAAAAATGATTTTGTTTGAGAAGAAATATCAAACATTCGACACAGTGTTTCATCGCCAGATGAAACACCTCGAAGTTCGTCAAAAATACTCCGCTGCGCGTCGCATTTTCAACTCTCTTCTCGGTGTTTCATGTAATATATCAAACATGAGATGCAGTGTTTCATCACCAGATGAAACACCGAGAAGAGAGTTGAAAATATCAGTAGTGTAACATAACAATCTATGATATTTCAATTTAATGATGGTGAATTTTCAGACCCGATAGCAAGATCACTGAAGATGTAGAAAAAAATCAATATTTTTATCGTTATTCGCATTCTCCGTCACTTTAGAGAAATTGAATAGAAATCCACAAGCATGTCCCCCCCCAAATTTTCCTTCACGCATTCTTCTTTAGCCCCCCCACTCGAAAACTTGCTGCGCGGTCCCTGCTATATGTACACCCAAAAAATAGTCTTCGGTCACATTTAAGAGCAATAATGGCTCTTGATCACAGTACATAAGGCGTGGAAAACAAATTCTTGGAAAACAAATCAGACCGAATTTTTTCGTTCGACAAGTTTACAAATTCTTGCAAACCAATCTTTTATTATTTTTTATAGACCACATCTGAGGAGAAAGAGTACTACGAGGTGCTGTTTTTATCATACAGACCTCGTACAAAATGCAGTATTTCACAATCTTTCAAGACAAATTGCATTAATTCAATATTCAGGACCATCGAAGCACGCGTGGACTTTTAATTAGCGAAACTGTTCAAAAAATTTCCAAAATCACCTATAGGGCCATCCGGGTCTAACTTTTGACAAGCGCCAAATTTGCGAAGAAATTTTAAAAGAGTTACCCTTCAACGTGATAAAGAATTTATTGAGTAGACAGCAATTTTCATTCATGAAAACAAATGAGTATTTAAGTGTCTCTAAGAATCCTCAAGTCTTTACTAGTAAGCTTAAAGATTAAGTTCATCTTTTAAGCCGCCGGTTTCCCGGTGTTTGCTGTTTTCAAAGATGACTCACGACAAAAAAATCGCTTAAAGCTTTCTTTCTACAGCCAAAGTTATAACTAAATATTCTTCGGAAAGTTTTTTTCTTTCTATTTACGGTGAATTAATATCGACTAAAGGCTTTTTAAAGTTCTATAAGCTTAAGCTTATATCAAACCTAGCTAAACCTCATACTAGGTCAGATCAGTGTCTCAGTCAA